TCGAATCGTGATAAAGTGTGTCGACCGAACGGGAGACGTGCGTTTCTCCTCCTGGGGTCAGGTCACCACAGTTGCGCGATCATTGAAGCTTAAGGTTAAGTTTGGGTTTAGACTTAGGTTAAGGCTTATGCTTACACATTGGCTTATGCCTAAGCCTATGATTGGGCCTAGGCTTAGTCCTAAGCTTGCTCCGAGCGAATGAACGGCGTCTCAATTTTAGGTGACCTGACCCCAGGAGGAGAAACGCTACGCACTTGACCGTATCTGGCCCGCACGGTAGCGAATCTACGCCTCCCCATCCTACTCAAATTCTTTGAAATGTACCTGGTCGAAGAGGCGTTTCAAGGTCTTCTGAGCATCAACGTTGGCCTTGTTGGCGTGGTCCAGGGCAATCTCGAGCTGATTGATGTCACTTTCCAGCTTCTTCTTTGCTCGAAGGAGTTCAGCTTTGCTCTTGGTTTCGGTTTCCAGAGAAGCCTTAATTAGCAAGAACTCTCACTCTATTCCGATTCACCTTATTCACGCTAGCAACTGACTGTACCTGGATGGATTCGAGGGCTCGTTGATGGTTCTTTCGGGTGTTTTCGAATTCTTCCTCTTTCTCCTGGATTCGCTTCTCAACCTCAGAGCGAATCTGTTGCACTTCAATTTGAGATCGTAGAACCTGAAATGCGATAGAGTTGATTTTTGTTCCCTAGTTGTTCACAAACGGGTTACTTGCCTTGCTTTCCTCTGCTTCCAGGGCAGCTTCAGCCTCGTCGAGGGCGTGTTGCAGCTCTTCTTTCTCTTGTTCGATTCGCTTTACGGCCTTTTGCAAGTCGTGGAATGTGCGGCTTCCTTGGGTGATCTGCTCGGTGATGTCGCGGATCTCCTGCGCGTAGCCCTTGTTCTCGCGACGGAGAGTCTCGATGTATTCGGTGAGATTTTCCATGGCTGATCGCAGCTTGAACACCTCGGTGCTCGTGTTGCGGGAGTCACGAGTGGTGGCGTCGATCTCCTTCTGGATGTCGTCGACCTTGCGCTTCCAGTCTTCAACGATCTTGTCGAATGCTTTCTGTTTCTTCTCTAGAGATGCGATCACCGTGAGATGACGGTCGACGTCTGAGCGAGCATCTTCTGTGTCCTGAAGAAGTCTCGCCTTGGCCTTCTCCAATGAGATGACCTTGTTTTGTGCAGCCGAGAGCGCCTCCTGCAGATCCATGACTCGAGCCATTTGTTTTCGCTTGAGTTCTTCTAATTCATCGGATCCTACCAGTCCCTCTCCCTCGTAGCGCGCCTTCCATTGTGAGATTTCCGAATTGATGCGGCTGAGCTGACGTTGAGTGTCATCTTTGGAGTTGATCTCTTCCTCCAACATCTCGAGACACTGCTCGATTTCGTGCTCAAGATTTTTGCAGGTAGCATTGAGCTCATGACGGTCATGAGTTTCATCTTCAGCAGCCTTCTTCGCCTCTGTGAGCTGGCTAGAGAAACCAGCCTTTGCGCGATTTACGGTGTTGAGTTGAACTTCCAACTCTTCCACTTGGCGGAGCAGGTCACCGTTGTCATTAAGAAGGCGTCCTTTGGATGTTGTGAATTCAGAAAGCTGCTTCGATTGTTCGTCTACCTTCTGTTGCAATTCGGCCACTTGAATCTCATACTGCTTAGCAAGTCGTTCTTGTTCGACACGAGCCTTAGACTTCCTGATCAACTTGCACGTTGATATCATCGAGCTCTTTCTGAAGCACTCCTCTCTCCTTATCGATCTTTGCTTTTCCTTTTTGGAGGCCATCGAGCTGATTGGTCAGTTGAGCTACTTGATCGTTGTTCCTCTTTCGTAGAGAGCCCAGCTGATCTTCATGAGACAAGTTAAGCTCATCAAGATCACGACGAGACTTCAGAATTTCAGCGTCCTTCTTCTTATTCAATTCAATTTGGGCTTGCATTTGATGATTCTGGTCGTCCAGCCGTTCACTGAGGTCGTCAAGCTCACGCTGAAGCTCTGATCGAGCTCGGTCAGCCTTTGCTCGGGATTGCCTCTCATGTTCGAGTTCATCCTCGATTTCGATAAGGCGAACGGTATTCTCTTTGGACTGACGAGTGAGACGATTGCTCATTGCCTGCTCGTCCTCGATTCTGACCCCGAGAGCGTGGAGGTCGGCCTCCTTCTTCTTCAACGAAATGTCGGCTTCTTGCTTGATTTTTGTCATCTCGTCAATCGTTTCTGTGGCAGCTTTAAGTTCGCTTTCGATCTTTCGCTTGGCTTTCTCTGTTTCGGCACGAATTCTCCTCTCCCGTTCGATAGACTCCTCCATCTCGTCCAAAGTCTGTTCGAGCTTCTGTCTCAGGCGAGCTGCTTGAGCTTGTTTTGCCTCTTCAGCCTGGAGATCGTCGACCAGTTGGCGGTTGATTTCTTCTTGGTGTTTCTTCTCTTTATTCAGTTTGCCAATGGTTTCATCTTGCGCGTTGATCTCGTCTTGCAGAGAGCGAATCTGGTTCTCCTTGGCCGCTTTCTCTTCGATTGACTTCAGAAGATTGCTGTCGACGGCTTCGATGTTCTTCTTCATGTTCTCCACTTCCTGCTGAGCCTTGCGCTTGTGTCTCTCAAGCTCAGAATTTCTGTCTTCTTGTTCAGACAACTTATCAGCAACGTCATTCAGTCCTTTCTCGAGCTCCTGCTTGGCTGCATTGAGTGCTGTCAGTTTTTCTTCAATCGAAGCTGATCCACCCTTTGTCATTTCGAGTTGTTCCAAGAGCCTGTTCTTCTCAGCGTTCAGTTTGTTGAACGCTTCCTCCTTAGCCTTTCGTTCGGCTTCGGCCTTGGCCGACTGAGCTTCGAGAACCTTTTGTTCTTCCGTCATCTTGGCCATCTCTTCAGCCATCTTACCGCACTTCAGCTGAGGACGAAGTTTTCCGAACAGAAGGAACCAGTTCCAGGTGCGAAGAATGCACCATGAACGAATGTTCCGCTGCAGGACGATGTACGAGTTGAGCTGCCGCTTGCGGTCGGTGTACTCCAGAACTGCATTGTAGTGACGGATCCAGCACTGGAGCCCAGTGATAACCTCGTTCAGCTTATCGTCACGAAGGTCTTCAATGTGAGCCACGACTCCGGCTTTGAAAAACACCTTAGTGTGTCCGATGCGGAACTGTTCGTCAGTGAGTTTCTTGCTGTTGACCAACGCCTGCAGAATTGCTCCAGCGCAAGTTTTAGGATCTTCGCTAGACTTGGCCTCCTTTGCAGCCAGGATGGCGTAACGGTGGACAAAGTCAGGGTGAAGAGTTCTGTTGGGGAAACCCTTTCGGCAAATACGAATACCTTCCAGCACACCGTTACATGTCAGCTGGTTAAGCACAAGCGCGGCATCGATGACACCAGAAGCCTTCTTCTCGTTGGGAATGATACAACGGATGAAATGAGGGTGGGTTTTGTGCAGCATACTCATGAGCTTGTTCAACGACTCGCGATACATCATGGAGACCGTCATGAAGGAACCTGATTTGCCCTTCTTCTTAGCGCCTCCATTGCCAGCTGAAAAAAATTCGTTGAAACTTCTGAAATTGTACGCTGAAAAGGATGAGTACTAACCTTTCTGGGCAGCAGCAGTTTCTTCCTGGGTGGTGTAATCTTGCCAAACTTCGACGAGCAGGTCGTTGCCCTTTGAGGCTTTCATGACAGTGACGACGGTGTCGTTGAGAGGATCCTTGTTCTTCTCGAGCCAGTTGGTCACGTTGTATCGCACAGTTCCGGCGTAATGTCTCATTGCGAAATGAGCCTCGGCCTGTTTGCCCTTTGGCGGCTTTGGCTTCTCGAAGTTGGGGTGCTTGCCCAAATGCTGCTCGTTCAACTTCTGGGCCAGAGTCAAGTCCGTGGCCTTCGGTACGATACATTCCTCGTCAAGCATGGAGATGATACCCAGTGGCTGAAATTAAAGGGTAGTTTCGCGTCAGAGCCTGAATTAGTTAGCAGTGTTACCTTCTCAATCAGCTCGATACAAGCCTGGAGATCGAGACCGAAATCAATGAAGGTCCATTGGATACCTTCACGAGCGTACTCTTCCTGCTCGAGGACGAACATGTGATGGTTGAAGAATTGTTGCAGTTCTCGTTTACGAAGTTGATCCAAAGCTGCTCGAAGGAGTTGAACTAAACTACCAAAATTGAAAAAAGGTCAGAGGGCATGTGAGCTGTTTTTAATCTTTCGGCGAACATTTTTATTAGATTACTGTAAAATATGTGCCGTTATGCCAATGAAAATATGTTATTAAAGATATAGGAATTGATTTGAACTCACATCGAAAATCTCGAATCCAGCGATATCGAGTACTCCGATGAAGTAGTCACGGGAAATTCCTTGTTGATCGAAGGGTCAAGTTACACTTCTTGACCAACCAATGGAACACTCTAGCGTAGAGACCCTTGGCAATGGCCCCGATGGCCCAGTTGACCTGATCGACATTCTGTCCCTTGGAGACCCATTCAGTTCCGACCTTGACACGTGGAGAAACGAGAGCTTTCAAAAATTGGTCAACATCTATACCGTACATTGCGGTTGCCTTCTCGGCATCTTCCTGTCCATCAGGCTCTGCTTGTTCCTCACGCGGGCGCTGTTTGAATTTCATCGCACCCATGTGCATATGACCGGCCATAAGGCGATAGCAGTCCATTTTTTCTTGAGCCGAAAAGTTAAGAATGTCGAAGGCTTCATCAGTCATTTGGAATTCCTCTGTGTCATTGACTCCGTCAATGCTCAGCTCAGCTTGTGCAACAAACCAGTATTCCTTGAGGGGTTTGGTTAGAAGAAGTTGCTGCTTCAGTTCAGGCTTGAAATCAGAGAAGATCTGGTAGAAGATGTGATAACAACGCTCTCCTGGAGCCTGACGAATTACACGAGACTTCTCGAGGAGATAGTGCTCGATATCGCAAGAGGCCACCTTTCCAGCTTTGGAGAAGTGGATTCGGATGAACTTTCCGAAACGAGAACTGTTGTTGTTACGGACAGTCTTGGCGTTACCGAATGCCTCAAGCACGGGGTTAGTCTGGACAATCTGGTCCTCAAGGGTGACGGTCTTGTCGGTACTGGCTTTCACTGCTTGTTGGCTGGCACCGACAGAGGCGAAGTAGGCGATTACCTGAAACAAAACAAATCTGCTTAAAACACTTGAAACTGGTGTCTTGATGTCGTACTTTCTTGGTGTTTTCCGTTTTTCCTGCTCCAGATTCTCCTGTGATGAGCATAGACTGGTTCTCATGATCCATAAGCATGTTTCGGTACGCCTCATCAGAAACGGCGAACAAATGAGGAGGCATTTCAGTCCTACGTTTGCCCATGTACATCCTCGCCACCGATTCTGTGTAGATAGGGAGCCGCTTGTATGGATTAATCACCACACAGAAAAGTCCGGAGTAGGTCTGAAAATAGAATAAAGATTGAATGGTATTAAAAAGGATAAAGGATAAAGCATTTGCCGTTGATCAATCCCTTTTTGGGATGCGGCACGCATTCTACTTCCATTTGTACATTCGTAGTGGCGTTTGAATGCGATGTGGCCTATACAATGACTTGCGGGGGCCAGCCGATGTACAAGTCAGTGTTTTTATCCTCCCAGACAAGTCTGGTACCAATTAACCGACCCCGGAGGGATGGAAGGCTTGGTTGGCCCGGGCGACTCACGACCCAGGATTTGATCCCCGGACCGCTCGCGTGGTAAGCGTGCCACTTGCCACTACACCACTTCCGCCCTTGAATGGTATTCTTTATTGAACTGCACACGAAGTTATTACGATAGTTTATTGGCTAACGGTTTCGACAAATTGGCCTTCTTCGGACCCAAGAAGGATGGGAGACCTTCAGTTCTCCTCCTGG